TTGGAGATCCAGTCATCTAATTTAAAAGGACATTAAAGAGAATGTGTCCAAATAAAGAAGTGAAGCAGAAACGAGTTTGCTGTCCTCATTGTGCTGGTGAAATGGAGCAGTGGATTGTGACCTCGAGTCTCATGGGCAGCGTAGCCTTTATAAGCATCAGGTGCACCTCATCACACACTGATAGCTGTACTCAAAAAGCACACACATCCACTGGGAGTCCAGGCCATTGGAGGTTGAGAGAAGGGCTGGAGCAATAATGATTTCAGGTGAATCCTACAAAAAAAATAAAAAAAGAGAGAGAGGACTGGTGTCTTGCACCCAGACTTAACAGCACAAGATATACTTTGCAGCTTATTATGGCGAGGAATCACTCACTTAAGCCGGGTGCACACTGTACAATTTATAATGGTCTTTTACTTTTGTTGCTTGACAGACTTTACAAAAATGAACCCAGCTGTAAATTATGTCATACTTGTCAAGACTTGGTAAAAACAGACATATGCACGAAGACTCATTTGGAGTTTTACATCATCAATCTGTGACACCTTCAGTGACTGAGCCACATTAACATGCAAAATTGACATGGTGGCTATCAAACATAAATACCAGTGTTAACTTTGATCATGGTTTGTTGTGAAAAGAAAAATGGGCGGGGGGGGGATGAAGATAATCTGTGTGGAGCAAGTGGTGATTTGTTGTCGTACTAATTGTGTCATCAGGTTCTTTGCTCCTAATGGTTTTTGATTCGACGGTTGTCGTAGGAGACAACACACTGCAGGACTGTGCCTCAAAACTTCTGACACCGGCAGATTTCCTCTGAGGTCAAATTTGACCGCAGTGATCATTAATTGGCTGTCTGGAAACATGTCAAACTAGTGATCAAAGATGACAGATTTCAGCAAAAATAAAATAAAATTCAGGTGGCCAAATTATGGCCAATATTGTGCAGTGCTATTTTACTTTATGAGGTCTTGTTTTGTATGAATAATGAAAACGTATTATTATTTAGAAAAAATTAAGAGTGAAGGTCCACCCCTAAACAAATCGTACAAGTGAGATTACAAATTAGTCACCAATTCACCAAAATAGTTCAGAACTGCCATGCGATTGTGTTGCTGAGGCTGATGATAGAGACTGGGACACGCATTTAACTCCAGTGAATGTTAGGTTTATTTTTGAGAGTCAGTTTAGTCAATTTCTGTAATGGCACAAACCTTAACCCTCTGGGGTATGAGGAGGTTTGGGCCCTGGAAAAGTTCTGACATGCACTGACTAGTGCGTTTTAGTCTTAATGAATAATACAAATAATATTATAATCTAACAAACAAATAAATAAATACACCAACCATAGTGGGAATGGGAGCCTGCTAATTAATGACACTGATTTGAGAAGAATATCTTTATACATATGAATTAATCTGTAACAATTTATTTTAATTGCTGATTAATTAAATTAATTACTGATAAAATGTATTATATTCTATTTTATAGTCTTTTAGCAACAATGTCAACAGTATTAGAATTATATAACAAAAACAATGTACTGCAAAAATGGAAAAAAGCAACATGCAAAAATATAAAACGTACTAACCTACTGAGATATTAATGTAATATAATAAAACTGCAAAACATAAAACTTTTATTTTAATAATGAAGTATTAACTTAACAGTTACAAAAAGCACACAGAGCACACTTCAACCTTACATAATCCCCCTTCATATGTTATTTCCCAGCACTGTGTTCCCTGGTATACCCAGGTAAGTATGATGATATTAGGACTCCAAACCATATAATTAGATATGCTCACCTGGTTCTCATTTATTTGTTTTAGAGACATTTCCAGCTTTGCAGATGTATAAAATGTCATGTTCTGCTCTGATGTACCATGTTTTTCATGTTCTGGAAAGTAAATTCTGAGAATTAGGAGTCTGTTAACTCTACTGATTGGTCCCTCGTGGAATAACTCTTGTGGACAGATTGTCCTGAACGGATATTACTGGTCTGTGTGCAATATTGTGTCACATCAGTTTGCAGTGTTCATGCATCTTATGCTTGTCAGCTCTGTTTAATTTGCTGCTCTGTTAAAGAGCTAATAACTAACATACAATACTTCTGTTTCTCTAATTCACACAAAGGATGATGCAGATGTTTTCAAAATGGCACTGTAACGATCTCCAGCTGGAGTGCCTATGAACTCCACCAGAGGGCACTGCACCCCTGACTCTTGCCACTCTCACAGACTACATTTCCCATAATCCTTTGCCTGACTCATCATCACTTATTGCATTCACCTGTGTCTTCTTGTTACCTACATCAGTCTCACCCTATTTATAGCCTGGTTATCCATTAATTCATTGCTCATTATTGTTTAGCCTGTAGCGTGTCCTAGTTCCTGTGTTTCCTAGTTTCCCGGTCTTCGTGGTTTTTGATTCCTGGACTGTGTACCTTGTTTCTGATCGTTTGCTGCCTGCCCTGACCTTCGCCTGTTTATTGGATTACTATTTTGTCACACCCTGGATTATACTTGTTTGCTGTTGTTTGACCCTGCCTGTTTTGACCACTCTTTTAAAATAAAGCTGCATTTGGATTCTCAACTCCGTTGTCACGCTTTAACGTTACAGGCACGTAACAAAACTATGTTTTTAGTTTGTTTGTTTATTTAAATATTTGTACTATTATTTCTATATTTTATAAGATTCATATATTTTAAACATTTATTTATTTCACACCCAAGTCAACAAAGAGCCTGATAAAAATGTAGATGTTTACAGTTAGGTAAAGACTTTAACAATTATATTTACAATATTAACACAAGATTAGCATAATAACACACATCAACATTTGTAAATAAATGTTTTTTAAGTCAAGCATTACATTAGTCAAGAAATCTAATAATATTATAATTTAAAATTTAGGCTACTCATACATTAAGGTGGTGTATTGCTTGATACAGTTGCTGCATTCTGACTGCATTAATGTTACACATAAGGCTCATTTAAAAGTGTTCAAGTCTCCAATAAGTTTGTCTAAGATTATTATTTTTATTTTTTTTCTTGACTGTCAATTGAAAATTTTGAGATAATATGAACATATCCCATGTAAGCGACGCAAGCAAATAAAAATAAGCACAACAAACCGGAAAATATAAAAAAATGGCAAACCAGGCAACTGAAGTGAAACTGAATATCAGTGCTGTTAGACATCAATTATTTTTCAAAATCATTAGGCCAGTCAAATTTAGCCCGGAACTAGCAGTTATGTAATACTATATAACGTTACCATAGTAATATTGATTTGCAAAACAGCCTTTCTGTGGTCCTCTTGTTACTCATGTTCACCATTCCCCGCTGTCTGACGCAGCTGTGTTATCCACATACCAGATATTAAGCAATCGCCCATGACACTACACATAAACTCTTCTGAGATTGTTTTAAGCAATAGGAATGCTTACACAACTGGAGCATTTTTATCTGCTCTTTTTGCATTCCTTCATAAATTGTTAAAAAATAAAATTTACAGTAATAGTTATGACCTAGTCCTAGATTGTTGATGTCAAGAAGTCAGTCTGTTTTAGTTTGGCTTTTGCTCTCTCACGGTCTTTCTGTTTTTGTCTGTATTATTCTCTATACTCAAACATTGAATGTTTCAGTGCTTGAGCAGAAGCTGGATCATCAAATATTCATTTTTCATCAAGAGTCTAGATGACATTCACAATCAAAACAGAGCTGAAACGTCTGTTCTTCTCCCATTCCTTTCAACTGCACAAAGTGATGATGCCAGAAAAGCATCATTTCACAAGGGCCTTTTAGAGTTTGAAACAAACAGTGGCAACTGGCTTGATGAGGGATCCAGATAACAGATCAGTGGGGGTGGGGGTGGGCTTCCTGCCCACCCCCACCAACACATACCCATGACATCGTCTGAGCCTCCCACCAAAGTGTTTTTGCCACCAGCTTTAACTAAGCAATCCATCTCAGGTGAGAGATGTGCTGATTACAGCATGGACTGTCTGCGTGACCTGCTTTTATGAAAAGTAGAGAGAAGAAAGTAACCCTGCCATTTTGCTGAGCATAGATAGATAGCTGTTGTTGTTGTTATTATTGTTAATATTATTTGTATTATTATCAAACTCAAGTACTACAAAACTATGAAGCGAAACAATCGGTCTGTGCAAGAAACAAAACATTATTTTCGACATTATTACCTGTAATCCAGAGCCTCAGGAAAATGGTCCGGAGTGATGTCTGGTTCACGAACGAATCATTCTTTTAAACTGGTCCTTTTTATTGAACTTGATGAACCAGTTCACCAAATCTGACCGAATTGTCTAAAACAATTTGCGGCACAAGCAGCACAGATCTACAAGTTACTCAATCAGAACTCACTTTTGGACAAGACTGACAGTCAGTCTGACTCGAAATGAGCCACAATTCCAGCGTATATGCTGCTATGATACTGGTTTTTGCCAACTCATTCAGCGCTCCAGTTCCTCCAACAGAACTGAACCGAGGACAGAAGATCTGATGAACTGATATGAGCATGCATGAACCAAGCATTTGAATGAAGGGGCGATTGAGTAGAAATTGGTACCGTTTTTATTCTCAGTACTCAAAATCTAAAAGCGGTTTCCATTGGTCAATAAGTAGTACTTTATATTGTTTGGGGGAAAAAATTGGGGGAAATTTTTTTTACAATGTTGCCAACTCAACATTTTTGTTTATTTGGTTTACCAGAAAGAATTCCATAAACTTTAATTTTACAAATTTAGTCTATAAAGTATTGCATTCAAGAAGTCATTTAAGAAAAGACAGAATATTGTGAAATCATTCTGGAATATTTGGCTTATCTAAAGTTGCTGTGTCATGAGCTGAAGATTTGTTAAAAAGGCAGCATCACGCTTGAGTCATAATGTTTATCTTCATATCAGCTTCATAACAGTGCAACTATTTTACACAGGCGAAAGACAGCCAGAGCATGACAAACGGAAAGTGAGAACAGATCCAGGCTTCCATTGACGACAGCCTCATTATGCGTTTATAAGAGCGCCTGTCTGATCTCACCAGCGTCTAGTTGGAGAAGATTCAGCGAGGCAACACATCGGGAGTGAACAGATCTGGATCTACAATCTGGAGCTGCCACTTAACATGAAAGGTAGGAGAGATTCTTACAAGGCATTGGGACTTTAATAATAATGGTTATTTTCAAACAGCACAAGTTACATGACTATAACAGAAACTGTTAGAACAGTACAGCATGGTGCTACCAAGGCCAAAGTTTTGGGTTTTATTCCCAGGGAAAACAATGTATTCTTTTTGGATAAAAACATCTGAAAAATGCATGTATAAATCCGAATCCAAAACTGAGATTAACTTTTTTGCAACACATTTTGTTAATATTCTGCCTTTTACATACTTGGAATTTCCAGGTTTTGCTCAGCCAGACGGATCTATTCCAATAAATGACTCCCCTTCATTCTTTGAGTTGTATTCAGAGTTTGGTTGATTTTACTTGCCAAACATGAAGGAAACTTCATCAATTTAGGAAGAAAGGACAGGTTTAATCTTGAACATAAGGATTAAGCTTGGAATAAATAAATAAAATGAATTAATCAATTAATTAAATAACAAAGATTATTGTACCTTTTACAAGAAAATAAAAAGTCTTTCTACTTCAAAATTTCTCATAAACGTTAATGTGTTACATGCTATTTCTTTCTAATTGTGAAATGTATTAGAAATTTCGGAGTGAAAAGTGTTTCAAAGTAAATCCTGTTTTAGTTTTTTTAACCATGAGTTGCTTATGTATATTTTTATTGGCCTTTTTTTAATCTGCACTGGGGGAAAAAAATATGTAGAAACAATTTTAACTCAGAAATTGCTTGTACATTTCTCAATTAATTACAAAGAAGCAGCATGTAACACATTGAATTCATATTTTGAAAGACTGAAGTAGTATTTTCTTGTAAATCATACTCTTTGTTTTATTTACACTTTTTTTTTGCAGTGTACATTTAAAATAATTTTTAAATACAGTTTAAATGGAATGCTAATTTACAATATCAATTAATATTTCACAGTGTCCCAATGGAACTAAATTCATCAAACATCCTCTGCAATGACACAGTCGCCTGGATATGGCTGTCGTCTCTCCAGCCTCCATTTCTGGCTCTTATCAGCATCCTGGGAGTGGTGGGCAACAGTCTGGTTCTCTGCGTGTTCTGCCTCCAGCGGAAGCCGTGCACCATAGCTGATGTGTATCTGGGCAACCTGGCAGCTGCAGACCTCATTATGGTCCTGTGTTTACCCTTCTGGACGGTCACCATCTCCCAAGGCTATCAGTGGAACTTTGGTCAGCTGCTCTGCAAGGTGATCAACACTGCCATTTCGATGAACTACTACTGCAGCATACTCTTCCTAGTGTTGGTCAGCATGGACCGCTACCTTGCATTGGCCAAACCCATGAATCCCAGTAAGTTCAGATGCCCCAAGTGGGCCAAGCGTATCTGTGTGATGATTTGGGCGGTGGGATTCATGCTCAGCCTCCCAACTTTGCTCTTCCGAAGAGTAAGTTTTGTTCCCTTCGTAGAGGTGGAAGCCTGTTACCTAGCATACCCTCATCCAGCCTGGGTTCTCCAATGGAACCTCACGAAAAACTTAATTGGGTTCCTGGTTCCGCTGCCAATTATTTCACTTTGTACTTTTCACATGGTCAAAGCGCTTAAAAAACGTGGTCTGGTGATTCAACCGAGAGTTCAAATGGAGAGGAAGGCTGCTCGGCTGGTTCTGACGGTCCTCGCCGTGTTTCTCCTCTGCTGGACGCCATTTCAGTTGTTGCGGTTCCTAGAAACTCTTAACTACTTTCAGTTCTTTTCTGGGTGTCTCTGGGAGCACATATTGCAAATAGGCAACCAGCTGGCTACTTATTTAGGGTATAGCAATAGCGCGATAAACCCTTTCTTGTATGTAATTGTAGGGAGCTACTTCAGGAAGAGAGCTCAAGGAGTTTTTCAGGGTCTTTTGTGTTCTAGACGGAAGAGCAACTCCTCTGTGCTCTTAAATGTTACTGTTATCAGCAAGTGCAGTGATAGTCCTAAAGATAACAGAATAACACCGGTGGCACTGAGAGCTGTATATCCACCCATCAAACCTCACATGATGTGTAGATCATTATGAAGAGGGAAAGAAGCTTAACTGGTTGAGGTCAAGGGTTTGATTGTCAACACTTTATTTTGATGGTTCCCTTAACAGGCAATTACTGACTATAAGTAGTATTCTCTGTCTACATGGCATCACTAGGTTCTGTCATTCAGAAACATGGCTTTTCATATCAAAGCTATGCTGATGACACTCAACTCTACCTCTCATTCCATCCTGATGATCCGACGATAGCTGCTCGCATCGCAGGCTGGAGCATCTAACAGACATTTATTGTTGGATGATGGACCATTACCTTCAACTCAACCTGGCTAAGACAGAACTGCTTGTGGTTTCAACAAAACCATCACTTTATCAAAATTTCACCATCCAGTTAGGCTCATCAACCATAACTCCTTCAAAAACAGCTAGAAACCTTAGAGTTGTGATTGATGATAAGTTGAATTTCTCAGCCCACATTGCTAAAACTACAGAAACCTGCTTTAATTTCAAACTAAAGAAGAAACCCAATATAAGTTACAGGTATTTTTTTATTTAGTTGCATTTGAAGAGAGTCCTGCAGATTTGCTTTATACAACATTAGGAAGATCAGGCCCTTTCTTTCAGAACACGCAACACAACTCCTTGTTCAAGCTCTTGTTCTATCCAGGCTGGGCTATTGCAATGCTCTCTTGGCAGGTCTTCCAGCCACTTCTATCAAACCTCTACAATTAATCCAAAATGCAGCTGCAAGATTAATCTTTAATGAGCCGAAAAGAATACATGTTACACCTCTGTTCATCAATTTGCACTGGCTACCAGTAGCTGCTCACATAAAATTCAAGGCATTAATGTTTGCCTACAAAACCACCACTGGCTCTGCACCCCTTTACCTAAATTCATCACTTCAGCGTTATGTGCCCTCTAGAATCTTGCGTTCTGAAAGTGAATGACATATTATTATGCCATCTCAAAGAGGCACAAAATCACTTTCACAGAC